ACGTGTATTTTTAACAGATATTTCCTACATACATGTTAGTGACTTTATCGATGTAATAATATACTTTATAATATACATTAATAATATATATTATAAAGTATATTATTACACCTAAAATGCAGCACCTAAAATGCCCCTAATTTGGATTTTTTCTAAAAGCAATTTTGATTCTATTCTGATTTTCAGAAAACCTGAGTTTTGCATCTGCTTTGTTCTTAATAACGACTTTATTTTTATTAGGGACGCCTTGTCATTGCCTATACTTGCAGTACCTAATTAGCACATAATTCCTTGATATTAATATTTATGGTATATCTATCATCGTCACTGCGTTGCTAGCGATCTGTTTTGCTAGCTGCGCAAATTTTAACAGTTGGTTGCGGTGAAAATTTTAGACCACCTAATTTTTAAACTTGGCACCTAATATCCCCTAATTTTGGGTTATTCTAAACGCAAATTCCTGACTTTGCGTTGCTGGCGAGACACAGCTAATTTCTAAACAGTCATTTACTGCAATAATATTATCTGTTTGTAGAGTAAATTTATGAAAATACATTTCATTCTATCTTCAAATCCCATCACTACCAATATCCGCTGAAGCGCTTGTGACCTCATAAGCGGGCGCTTTAAGTCGTCGATGGCGTGCGCGGAACATAAAAATATGTCATAGACAGTGAAGGTCGATTTAGTTATCGACTTTTATTTTGCGATTTATACGAGTACATAAACAAAAACAATAACAAAAATTGATGATGGGGACTACCGACATTTGCATAAACATGTTGCATTGGCATAAACTCGATTTTCGGAAATAAAAAGCTATTTATTATTATAATGTTGTAAAAATCACGGCAAAGGAGGCGTTCGTGGCCGTACAGGTCCAAAACAAAAATTTCCTTTTAGATATAACAATGAGTTGGGATTTATTTTATCCAAAGTTAAAGTTTAAAAAATAAAAGATAATAATTTTATATAAGATCATTTCATCACCTATTTTCACAAAACAAAAATAACGATTCAAAACATACCTCTATATTTCATCATTTCCAATTTGCAAAAGTCTTGCTAAATTGATACAGATACACGACCGCTATTTAGTGCCGAACTAGATCGCTATAATTCTCTTTCAATCTACCTACATCATTATTTATATTTAGTGGGTAGATAAACATCACTACGCGACGCGTAAACACGTCACTGGCGTCCGGTACATAACTTTAATGCTTCAGTTCTTGGGCATTCATTTTAAATGTTTATGCAATTGATTAGATAGTTTTTCCTACGTTCTCTGGTAAATATATCTTCAGCGCAGTCATGGTAAGATATTGGGTCAAAAATAAACTCTAATGAACATAGTCATAACGTTTTTTTCAATGGTAATCAAACAGCATTTTTAGACGTTTTAATACGTCATCGGCGTCGCGAACATAATTTTGAATTACGTTTTGATGCGTCGTTGGCGGTCAATGGGTTAATATAGATTAAGAACAGGAATGGACCTAAAATCGAGCCCTGAGGAATGCCCATTGATACTACCGATCCGGAGGAATCTTTACCATTGATTACGACTTTTTGAGTTCTGTTACTTAAATATGAAGTACTCGTAATAAGTCTAAGCGCCAAATTTTTGACACCGTAATGTTGTAGTTTCCTGATTAATGTCTCATGATGAACACAATAGAAAGCCTTGGAAAGGTCACAGAAAATACCTAAGGCATCTTGTGAAGTCTCCCAGGCATGAAAAATATATTTCATATGCTCAACACCGGCGTCAGACATCGAGCGACCCATTGTAAAACCAAATTGGTTTTTATCAAGTAATTTGACTGTATTAAAAAAATAACAGTTGATCCAAAATTATTTTTCCAATTAGCGGGGTCCAATGTACTACCAGATTTAAATAAAGGTATTACTTTACTATACTTTATTAAATTAGGAAACACACCAAAATAGATACAAGTATTAAAAATAATAGCAAGATGAGGTACAACTAAATCTATTATGGACGCAATCACTGTAACGGAAATCCCCCACAAATCTGCGGTTTTCTTTACATCAATGGTTTTGAAGTATTTTACAATATTATACGGTAATACTTTTTACCATCACACATCTGTTTACAATGCAATGAGGAGTCTGATAAACTGGCTAAATTGGCAATTACACAAGGAAGAGAATCTAATAATGATCCAGATTATACAGAAATGTTATGCACTTTGGAAAGAATATTTTGATAAAAGGTCGCAAGAAAAAGGGAAATGTTATGTACAAAACTATCCAGAGTCAGCTTCCGAAAGTGCCTTGGTTCAATCAATGTCTATTGAACAGAAAATCTGTTGTATTAGCAATGCGACTTCGCTCCGAACACATTCCGTGCAACAAGTTTGCTTTCATGATGAGAAAGAAACAATCTCCAAATTACGAAACATGCAACACAATCGAAGACATACAACACTTGCTCGCGGAATGTTCGAAAAACCATCACGAGAGGAAACTACTGGTCGCCAAAACTGACATTAAAATGTATAACATAACATAGGGGAATATCAAAGTATACTCTCTGAACCACTGTCAGATGCTGCTCAAATGGTTTATCATTTATTAAGTATTGTATAAGTAATTATATATTTTTTGTGCTATTTAGTTATAAGGTACAATGGGACTGACATGTAAATCATAACGAAAGTCCCTTAAATAAAAAAGAATTTAAAAAAATCTAAACTCTTTTAAATATTATGACTTTTCACATAATTGCAAAAAAATAAACGGAATAATTTCGACGTTTGCGTTAGACCATAAAGCAATTAAAAAGAGTAACCGATATAAGTTTTCAATGGATAATCAGATCATGCAGATTTGTAACGAGAGTATTCAGTCAAACTATTTCGATAATTCTCCTAACGCAAAACTTATCTGTATCGGTCCATACCGTACTCTGCTATCAGCAGAGTTGCCGTAAGTCTGGCAACCGAATGGCGGATGACGACCGCCTTAAAAACAACAATTATTTATATAATACCGTAAGGAACAGTAAACTGAAGTATTAATAGGTCGGTCATGTAGTTTGAACAACCGACAACGAAAGCCGCCCTTTATACGACGGAGCTCTAATACGACATGCGGGGAAGTCAGTGGACGCAGGTGGCTGAGCATCGCGTTTCTTCGCATTCCTTGGGAGAGGCTTATGAACAGCAGTCAACTTGAGAAGATCTTAAACTTTTAAACATTGATGTTATAAGATATATTTACCCACTTCATTTTTACTTCTTGTCAACTTGTCATCTCGAATAACTACTATTAGGCACTATACTTTGGTCAACAAATTAAGATTGGCCAGAAATCGTTTAAAACATTTCGCAAAATGTAACATAGGAAAATATCGAAATAAAAAACTTTTACAGTTTTAAACATTTAATGTTATCTTTTATCTGCTTGTTTGTTTATCACAAAATATAATTTTAATTTAATCTGGCACTGGAAAAGTAGAAAACTGTACAAAATTACAGCAAAAAATTAAAGGTTCCTACTTATTAGTACATATATTTACCTTAGAAGTGCATATTAAACTAAAGATGGTGGATATGACAATAACCATATATATAAAAATAAATTAAAGTAACTGTTAAAATTCACACAACTCAAATTTTGTAGTTAACTGGAACAAAAGCTACTGATCAACTAAGAGACTAAAGAATAACATAACGATGCAATACAAATTCAAATACATACGTTTTAGAACTAATACTGAAAATAATATACTGAAAGAATCTTCATAACGCTAGAAAATGACTAAAACCTTTGACACATTGCATTTAAAATGCACTTATAAAACTAAACATCGCACTGTTTAACTAAATTTTCATCAGTGAAAGCTAGCAGAGGCCTTCTGAAATGATGTCAGCTCAAATAGTTAGAAAAATGTCAAAGGGATTTTAAAACGAGTATCGGTGTAGATACTCCTAAAATCTAGCCTTTTTTTGAATAATAAATCGGCGCTAATACTTATTTCTTTACTTCAAAATTGCGCGTATAAGCTGCTTTATAAACAATACAATTTTTATCATGGCAATTTCAATTAAATCTGCAAGAGTACCTCTTCATCTTTTGAAAAAGAAATATAAAAAGATCTTTTTTATATCTATGGAACAAACAAACATATAAAGCAATGTTTTCTACGCTAGCTTCTAGAAAAGAGTAAAAAAGAAAGTGCGGCCATTATATCTTTGTTTTGTGTGCATAGAGCAAGCTATATCGCATTCCTCCTACAGGCGCAGAATAAATAATAGTTAAAAGAACTACAGGTTCCTGGGCGATGCTTGACAAATGGATGCCCAGAATAACTTTAGAAGAACACAATGTGTTCGTGCCTAATACATCATATTAAATATTATAAATATATTTGTATAAGATTCTAAAAAATAAATAAATGCTTTTTATATAAATAATGTGTGATCGAATTTTTGTATATTGGACGTAGTAACAAATAAAAATTCGGTCTATTGGAGAGCTTAACCGTCCGTTATACATCAGTCTCAAAGTAAGTCCGACACAGACACGACATCAAAGAAAAATACTCAGCTGCGGCAGAAGTCTAGTAGTGACGTTATCTTTCGATAAGCCAGCAATTCACCGATTTCACACATCAGATATGGTTATATCAATCAGTCCACATGGAAATGGTTCGCAGTTTATTATGTGTATTACAAAATGAACCTTAATGCATAGTACGCATAAATTTTATGTTTGTATATAGCGCTGTCTCACAATAAGTCAGGAATCCATTTTAATGTTATTGTTCTGCTTGGTTAAGCAATGTTTCGAATTTAACACTTAGTCGTCGATTATGTTGCATATTTACGATATATTAAACTATTTAACTTTTAAAAGTATTCGACTATTGCATACAATAGAATGCAATGCAATGACATATAATATTGATGAAAACTTCCATAGTTGCAGACTTCGACCGTAGCTTGTTAAACTAATGCTAAAAAAGTAATTTAAAACTTAATGCCGGCTTGCACTTGCGCCATGAGCTCAGCTGACTTGCGTAGTTGAGCCAGTTCCTTATCGGTTAGTGGCTGGCAGATCACATCGGAGATTCCGCAATGACCCAGTACGCAGGGTAAAGACAGGAACACGTCATGTTCGATACCATGCAAGCCCTAAAATTAAACATAATTTATTAGTTTATGCGTTTTTTATAGAATAAGGGTGACAAACGAGCACACAGTCCACCTAATGGTAAGTGGATACAGTGGTCCATGGACAACTTGATCTATCCTCGGTTAAGAATCAAAATGCAGATGAATTGTTAACCCTGAGGACTGAGATGGAATGCCTCATTTCCAATAAAAAGGTGTATCCGGTTATCTGCACTCTCCATACGAAAAACAGCAGCATTAAGCTGATATTTTAAGCTGGTATTCTGTGGATAAAACTTCTTAGACTTAGGTAATTATAAATTTCTTATTTAGTTTGATTTATTCCAATTTAAAATTCAGAAGGTGATTCGTTTCGTTAACCTAAGCTTGAGACGTAGTAATACTAATATTTAGATTAAACATTTGCATGTGCGTCAGAAGTTTACCTCCTCTCCATAATTAAATAAATATTCGTATTCGTTGTCATGGCGTTTACACACAGGAAAAACAGTACATTAAAGTAAACCGATTTTTAAAACTAAGCATTATCCTTATATCCTTATAAGTCCTGTTACATTATCGATTAGTGGTGCGCACGTACCTCTTGAGATATAATTACATATATATAAGCATATAAGCAAAATATTTTTGTTTCCATAGACAGAAAAGGATTTCCCATTAGTGACATCTATATCTGGTGAGCGTAAAATTATTAGTCCTCACTGAGCTTACCTTTAGATATGTAGACACGGGATGCACGCTGCTCGCATCGGACAAGATAGCCCTGGCGAGTTGCGAGAGCGATAGTCCAATAGCCCAGGAGGTGTAACCCTTCAGCTTGATGACCTCGTACGCGCTCTTGACCACCATTTCGTGCATTTGACGCCACTGTTCAGGATCTTCCTCACTTCCTATCTTTGAGTTCAAATCACTCAGTCTCACGCCTGCGATGTTCACTCCGGACCATACCGGCACTGTTGAGTCGAACAGATAGGTCAAATGACGGGAAAAATATTCTGTTAATTGTTTATAATGATAAATGTCTCATTTCATAATTATTTTAAGGCAAAATTTATTTATTACCACACAATTTGTGGTAGAACCCCACTGAGGATTTACAAATTTTTTCTGTAAGTGCCATCCTCTTCGGGCACAAGTAGATAGGTACGTAGGTGCGCCAGACAACTCAATAAAAATGTTAAATGGTCTAAGGCTATAGCGTATTGACTGTTGACAGCATGAATGAGTCGACTTAACCGAGAAGGGACCTCACTCACACAGAATATCAGTGAGAAAGAGTAGCTTATTACTGCTATTTCCTACGGCTAGTGACAAGAACCGGAGACCGTTCTTCTGAGAACGAGGCATTCCATCTTAATCTTTAGGACAAACGCACCCGCATTTTTATTCTTAATCGAGGATAGATCTAGATATATAGGGGCCACCGCATCCAATCCCCGTCAGGTGGACTGTGTTTTAATTTGTCAAACTTCTATAAAAATAGTTAGCTAACGAGTCGATAAACGGCGGTATATTTTTCAGCAATGTTGATCTCTAATTTTTTTTTATAGGAGAGGGGGCAAACGAGCATGCGGCTCGCCTAATCGTGACTACCGCCGCCCATGAACAACACCAGGGGAATCACAGATGCGTTGCCGGCCTTAATTCACTCGATTCGGCATTGCCAGTGTAAAGAAAAGCGCCCGCTTAAAATTGCGGACGTGTTTTACGGAACCTTATTAGTTTTAAAAGATTTTCTAATGACACTCCACACGTTATAGAAAATTCTTATTAGAATTCTTATTAGAAAATTCTTGCCACCCCTATTCACAGGAGAATTGCATAAAATACATATTCTAATATTTTCTTACCTTACTTTAAACCTAAACATATATGATCAGAACACTATTTGAAATTTCTTTTGAAATTATAAACTCTGAGGAAAGACCTCAAAATCAGATCTTTCAACGAGATGGAGCATTTGGCGTGTACTAAAAACACACGCTTTACTGTTATAATGTGTGACAACCGTTGTTAGGATTTCTTGTGACTAAATCCAGACATATAATCTTTATATTAAGCGTTGTGGGGGCACTCCTTACGAGTTGAAATATATTTTTGGAAAGTTACATTTTAATCTACTTTCAGACGAAACATGCCTCTTAAAATATTCAATTTAACGCTTTGCCTTTTTGTGCATATCATTCGCTGGCAGACTGCCATGACCGATTAATGTGTTTTAATTCAAGATATATAAAATGCCAACGGAACGTTCCGAGTTCATTACCACCGAGCTTTCTTAATGTAATGAATACGGACATTTAAAAAGTGGCATTAAATCTTGTACTTTAGTACATAAATTGTGATCTCGACCCGTATTATAACGAGATTTGTATTTATTTACCTACGTCATGTATCTACCGTCACAGAATATATAATAGTGTACTATGACAGAATATATATTATGTTTAGACTTCAAAGTACCTGGTACAAGGTCTTGCGAGGTTTAGATTCGATTGACAGCCGATGACAACATTTGTGCCAAAACGCATAAGGCTGTGTTAATAAGTAATAACTAGGTTTCAAGCATGACAAACGAGCACTCTATCCACCTGATGGCAAGTGGATGCTATGGCCCATAGATACCTAGCTACATCTATCCTCGATTAAGAATCAAAAAATATATATCACAAGTGACAAAGCATATATATATTTTTTTCATCATTTCATCACAGCCCTTCACAAGTCCACTGCTGAACATAGGCCTCCCCCAAAGAATGCCACAAAGCACGGTCCTGAGCCACCTGCATCCATCGACTTCCTGCATATCTTACCAGGTCGTCACTCCATCTAGTGGGGGGACGCCCTACACTTCGCCTGCCGGTACGAGGCTGCCACTCGAGAACCTTTCTTCCCCATCGGTTGTCGGCTCTTCGAGCTATATGGCCGGCCCATTGCCACTTCAGCTTACTAATCCGTTGGGCTATGTCGGTCACTCTGGTTCTACTGCGGATATCCTCATTTCTGAGTTTATCACGCAGAGAAACTCCGAGCATAGCCCTCTCCATAGCTCGCTGAGCGACCTTGAGCTTCCTCATCCGGCCAGCAGTGAAGGACCACGTCTCAGTTCCGTATGTCATCACTGGCAACACGCACTGGGTGTACAGTCTCGTTTTAAGGTTTTGAGGTATACCTGACGAGAAGATGTGCCGTAATTTCCCGAACGCTGCCCAACCGAGTTGAATCCGTCGATTGACCTCTCGGTCGAAGTTGGACTTACCTAGTCGGACTATTTGTCCCAGGTAAACATACTCGTCAACAACTTCGAGCTTAGTGTTCCCAACAACTACCGGCATAGGTGTGACATGGACATTAAACATGATCTTTGTTTTGTCCATGTTCATCTTAAGACCTATCCGTTGGGAAACACTATTGAGGTCATTGAGCATAGTGCTTAGGTCCTCCAGCGATTCTGCCATAAGGACTATATCGTCGGCAAATCGAAGGTGAGTGATGTACTCGCCATTGATGTTGATACCGTATCCTTTCCAGTCCAGAAGCTTGAAAACATCTTCCAATGCAGCGGTAAAGAGTTTCGGGGATATGACGTCACCCTGTCTTACACCTCTCTGCAATTGGATAGGTTTCGTACTCTGGTTCTGTACTCGGATAGCCATCGTAGCCCTACTGTACAAGCACTTCAACACTTCGATATACCGACAGTCAACTTGGCACCGCTGAAGGGACTGCAGCACCGCCCAAATTTCGACGGAATCAAAGGCTTTCTCATAGTCTACATACGCCAGACATAATGGCAAATTGTACTCCTCGGACTTCTGTACAATTTGCCGAAGGGTATGTATGTGGTCTATGGTGCTAAAGCCTTTTCGGAAACCGGCTTGTTCGGGAGGCTGGAAGTCGTCAAGTCTGCGCACGAGACGATTCGTAATGACTCTCGAAAACAGCACGTAGACGCGGCTCAGAAGGGAAATCGGTCTGTAGTTCTTCAAGAGAGCGTTGTCGCCTTTCTTGAAGAACAAGACCACCGCACTTCTGCTCCACGCCTCCGGTGTAATGCCACCATGGAGGACGGAATTAAAGAGCTTCTGAAGGACTTCAAGTACCGGTTTTCCACCCGCTTTCAGAAGCTCCGCTGTAATTCCATCCTGGCCTGGGGCCTTGCCGTTTTTAAGGTGCTGGAGAGCCATTCTAATCTCGCTCAGACTAACGTCCGGGATATCATCGGAATAATGTCGGATAAGACTCGCTCTTGGATCGTTACTCACACTTGCGTGTGGCTCCAACGATGATGTGTACAGCTGCCCATAGAACCTCTCAATCTCACTCAAAATCTCAGGTGCCCCGGAAACGATGCTGCCACATTCGGTCTTCAGCTTTGACAGTTGGCTCTTTCTGGCAGACAGATCTCTGGCAAAGACTTTGGAGCCTTGGTTCCGCTCGATCGCTTCTTCAATACGAGCTGTATTGAAGTTGCGTAAGTCCCGCCGCATGCATTTGGAAATCTGTCTATTCAGTTGCCTGTATGCTGTCAAATCTGTTGAAGAATGTAGCTTCATCTCCCGTCTAACAGCCATGAGATTAAGAAAGTGATCGGAGAGTTTTTGTGTTCTTCTGCGGCGGGTCTTGCAGAACTTAGCTCCGACCGCATGGACAGTTTCCACGAGCTTGTCATTCAAATCGTCCACTTCATTGCAGTCTTCTAGGCACTGAAAACGGTTTTGCAACTCGAGCTGAAAGGTTTCGGGACTCTGGATTAGAGCACGAGGGGGACGGAGCGTTGACTTCATTAGACGAGACCTCTCCAACTTAACGTTTAGGTTCAGTGTGCCTCTAACCATTCGGTGATCGCTGCCGGTTTTCACCCTCGCGATCACTGAGACATCACTGAACAGTTGTCGTCTGGTCGTCATAATGAAGTCAATCTCATTTTTTGTCGAACCGTCGGGGCTCGACCAGGTCCACTTCCTGTGGGGCCGCTTCTGGAAGAAAGAGTTCATCATAAAGAGTCCCTCTTTCTCCATGAAGTCGGCCAACTGCTGGCCCCTTGGGTTCCGTTGCCCTATTCCAAATTTCCCCACTTTCAGCTCACCGTTCTCTCTTGTGCCTAGTTTTGCATTGAAGTCTCCCATTAACACCGTATATTGGGTTTTGGAGGAATGCATGGCTCTAGAGATATCCTCATACATTTCCTCCACCTCCTGATCGGGGTGTGCCGAGGTTGGTGCGTAAACCTGTATGACCTTCAGCGAATACCGTTTGGTGATTCTGAGTATAAGGTACGCAACCCTCGTCGACACACTCTCAATCTTTACAACGTTGTTAACGAGAGACTTGTGGATGATAAATCCGACACCTCCTTGGGACAGATGGTCGCCCTCCCGGTAATAGAGCAAGTTGCCGGATTCGAGGATTACCGTGTCCTCCCCCTCTCTTCGGACTTCGGATAATCCTATAATATGCCAGCGTAACTTGTCTATCTCTTCTTCCAGCTCCACAATCTTGTCGTCAGTCCTCAGGGTGCGTGCGTTGTATGTTGCCAGGTCGAGTCGTTGTAGGTGGCAACCGAACCTCCACCGGAGATTCTTAGCACCCCCTGCCCCGCCGTTACCATGGTCGCCACCGTAGCCAGGAATAGCGGGGCCGCCGGGGACTGGGGGCCGTCTCTTCGTAACTCTCATTATGGGGGGTATATTGCCATAGTTGCCACGCTTGGCGAGCGGGTTGGCAACCGCAGTTTTTTATTGTATTTTTGCCGTTACCAGGAAGATGCTGCTGCCCATCTCCTGCCTGTTTCCCTTTGTCGCCTTTTACGACACCCACGGGAAGATATGGGGTATATATATATATATATATATATATATATATATATATATATATATATATGCCTTGTCACCCCTAAGGATTAAGATGAATGATTCGTTACCAGCAAAAAGGGTATTCTGCAGTCTACACTCACCACACTGAACACGCAGCATTAAGCTGAGCATTTCACTCTGGTGTTCTCAGATAACAATATCCAGAAATATCTTAAAGCTTCCGCCAGGTGGCAGTTTAACCAGCTCAACACGCCGATTGTGAAATACTCAAACCGGCGATAGGCAGCAGCGCCAAACGTGTGTCACGTCGGAAATGCGATCGTCTAACCATAACGATTTAGGCAAATTCTCTTGACAAAGCAAAGGCTCTCTTGTCCAGCATTGGACTTTATCGAGTTGATGAAAAAAACGAACAAATTACTTACCACTGCTATCTCCATGCTCGCCGATGATGTAACCATGGCAGGAAGTGGTCGCGATACCGAGCTTCTCCGACAGTAAGTATCGGAAACGAGCAGAGTCCAGATTCGTTCCCGAGCCGATTACGCGGTGCTTGGGTAGGCCGCTGATACGCCACGTGACGTACGTCAGTATGTCCACAGGGTTGCTTGCGATTATAAAGACCGCATCCGGGCTGTATTTAACCAGCTGGGGAAAAAAAAATTCCTAAGTAAATGACGCTTTGGTAGCAGTATAGCCAAGCACTTGGCTGCGGCCTTGCGCGCCACGATTTTGTGTTCATGTAACAAATTAAGAATAATTGTCAGGAGTTTTGATATTTCTCCAAAAGCGATTTACGTACGTAAAACGTCCTTCATAATATACGAGAAATGTTAAGTAATATGGGTAACTTAATAAATATATTTAACTTAATCACAATTTTAAATTGTTATAGCATAACATACGCTAGCCAGAAGAACAAATAATCTACTTTAAATAATATGATATATGTATTTTCCTTTTTTAAATTTTAAAAACAATTCAGTACTAGCGACCCGCTGAGGCTTTGCACGCACAACTGCGCCACCTATCCGGTCCAAATGCGAAGCTAAACCATCTCGAAACCCATTCAAATACACACAAAAATTCATCAAAAATCGGTCGAGCTGTTTTTCAGTTTTAGCGAGACTAACGTACAGCTATTGATTCACTTGGCAGGCGGGTTGGAAACCGCAACTTAATTTTTATTTTTTAGTTGTTAATAGGACGCTGTCCATTTTTCTTTCTCTCTGTCGTCTCTTATAACCACCTCTTATAACAGACGATAACATGGTGTAGTGCAATCTTTACACCACTATTACACGATCACAATACATACTTTACAACTTTTTGATACAAACGAAAATGAGTTATAACAAATATACCTACGAAAATTTAAATATATCAACAAAAGTTTCATCCGAGTAATACCAAGCTAATTTTCCATGTCTACGAGTACACATGTAAATTGGACCAAATATTCTTATGTTGGATTAAATTTTGCTTGATCCGATATTCAGCGTGTACAGGTAGTGCTTTTTACGGCCTTACCTTCGGGATAATAATCTTCAATATATCGGTGTTCCGCTGTACGAGGTCCAAGCGGGATTCTCCCTCACGTTGCCTCACTCCAGCAGTAACCACGCAAATTTTAGAATCGGCGGATATCGCATAATCTGTACCCAAAGAATAATTTATGTTTAAAAACATTATATAATCTGTATCCATTTATTTCATAACACAAGTACGTATTATGACTGCAGCTTGAATAGGTCGGCTTGACCGGGAAAGGATTACGGTCGCACAGAATACGAGTGTGAAATAGCAACTTAATGCTGTTGTATTTATTTTGACATAAGTGACGGGAACCGAAGACCCTTTTTCTTAGTAACGAGGCATTCTATCTTAGACCTCAGGGGTGACAACTCATATGCATTTTAATTCTTAATTTATGGTTGATATCTGTGTGCCAGTGTCCCCTTACCATCAGGTGGACTGTGTTATCGTTCGTCACTCTTACCACTCTTACTTTTATAAAAGCAAAGAGTCTGAACCACTATAGACTAGGTCGAAAATCGGCCGAAGATTCCATGAAATTTACGGTGGTAAAATCCAAAAATCTCAATGAGTTGTGTTTGTTCACGGATAGGGCGTTAAATGTTATATTACACAAACACCCTCAGCCTCGGTACTGGTGCCGGCAATACTGATGCCAATATATTTTCAATTTCACCTGCTTATTTAACACTTGCTGGGCATATAAGAAAAACAGCGTAAGAATAGATATTATTATAAACATATTTAGAGTAAGTATACAAAAATATCGACGACGTGTATGGACAACGTACACCGAAGCAGCAGAGCGGACTCATTTCGTTCCATTATACTTAATTTTTTTTTATTTAACCAATAATCTCCAAACAATGTATTAATGATACCTGTGCTGGCTTGGATCTTGGAGTTTCTCATGAAGGCGGAGCCGTGTTGCAAGTCCATCATTTCACCCTTTAATTTGTCTTCCATCACGTCCACCAACGCAATGTTGTTGGTCACACCCTAAATCAATAACAAACATTAATTTCCACTACCGAATACCGATACAAATTTATTGCGGCATATTTTTATACATTTTATCGTACGTTACGTTTTAATACTTTTAAATGTCATTCATACTATTTAATACATCGTAGCTTCAAGTGTAATAATCATAATGATTTATAAAGCGAAGTTCTCCTTCGGTTAAAATAATTATGCGGTTATAACACGCGTAAAAATAGGTTAAACAAAAAAATATGACGTTATATAATAAAACGTTATTATATTACGTCGAATGAATTAAGTATTTAATTATTTTAAAGTATTAAAATATAACACGAGCATACAAGCTACCACCAATGGTAAGTGGCTGCTGTAGCCAATATACATCTTAATGTAAATGCGAAGTCACTTGTGACATCTAATATTTGTTCTGTGCACCTGAAAACTAATGAGCGATTCCAAATTTTGCGGTCCCTTCTAAAACTACTATCCTTAATTTCAAGTTACTTTGAATGGAGCCGGTGATGTAATTCTATGTAATAGTAGTACAATTATTACGCAATGGTGCATTATTTATTGGGTTACATTTTTCATATTATCAGAATATCTTTTATCAGCTTAGAAGTAAACGATACATACATACATAATACGATATATTTACATTGGTCAGGGAAGTTATAAAATAAAGATGGCCGAAATGATTTTTTTTAATTCGAGAATAAAGTAAGAAAACCAACGACTCATTTTTTATTTCTTTAGATAATATAAAATTTATTGATTGATTAAAATTATAAAAAAATATTTAGAACAGAAATATGTACGTGACCTTGTTATCGCAAATATTGATAGCATACAAATATCAAACTGCAATATTGTTATCCGACGGATAAGATAGTTCTAATGCACACCTACAATATAACTTCTAACTGCGCAAGATTATGCGATAAATTAAGTAGACTATAAAAAATTGTAAGTAATAATAATAATAATTAAGTAGATAATATTTAAGATCGGCTAAAATAAGAACAGCCTTAACCGACGGGAATATATACGTAGGTAGATATATGGATGTGACAGAAACGAAAGAGGCCAGGATCGTGGCAAATGGAATTGCGTAGTCTCTACCCTGCCTACCCCTGTGGATAACAGGCGTGGGAGTTTATGTTCATATGACGTAATATGTATTTTAATTTAGTTATTCTTACACTTGGATTTTTTCCGTTATCGTGGATCATTTTACATACATAAATTGCGCATGGTCAAACAAAAAAATATAAACAAATTTGCACTTTGTTGGTACCGAACTAGAAAGCAGACCACAGCGCTAAATGCTAGCTACCGAGCTACCGAGCCGGCACAGTGCGTCAACTAACAACCATAATTCATAATATTTTAAAATGTATCTAAAGTTTCTTAAATTTGTAATGAAACTTTGTTTTTTGAAACACATAGACATTATTGAGTCGGCCTCCATTATGATGTCATTTCGGCTCGTTTCTGTGGTTGCGACTGATGTACTTCCTCACTGATAGGATTTTTATGAGTAGTGTAATATGCATGAGCGACAATAAATTATGAGACATTTTATTACTTGTTCTAACAATAGTCAAGTATATTTACAGAATCGATCGTAAATATTTGTTATCGGATACTTTTATTAAATCCATCCATCCATACCATTCCAACCTATAAAAGTCCACTGCTGCACATAGGCCTCACCCATAGATTGCCTCATAGGGGGCGGGGGGCGGGGGGGGCGGTTTGCCTTAGTTGGCATTAGCACGCTTGGCAGGCGGTTCGACCACCGCAGTTTTTTATTATTTTGAATTGTTATCAGGAAGATACTGGTGCCTAAATCCTTTTTCAGTTTTCCTCTTACGACACCCACAGAACGACATGGGACGACAGTGGATACTCTGCCACTATACGGTTCACTTACACTTTAATAAATGTCATAAATTAAAAAAGGAATATCTTTTGTTGCTGAAAAACTATCCAAAAAGTTTACTCTATGCATTTAGTGCAATGAACTCTGCGAGTACAAACTGAGAATAAAAAAAGCATGCGCTGTAGTAACCAATGAAATCAAAAATAAAATTCCACAAGGATAACACACACAAGACCAGTTATTATTAGCATAAACATAAAAAGTGCTTTAGGAGACAGCTACAAACAGTTATCTTTTGTTGCTGTGTCTGTAATAGAAAGAATTCCATTTAATTTGAAGTTGGACTCTTAAATTTATTTTTATTATTTATTACAGCTAAATAGAAGAATTCTTAATAAAAGAAAGTTAACATTTGTTTCAGATCAGAGTTGGAGAATAAAGGCATGGGTTTTAAAAACCCATATTCAAAATATTGATAAATATGTGCGTAAAATTATTGTTATAAATTTTGCCACGGTATTTTTTTACTTATTTCTTTGTATAATATGAATATTTATTTAAGTAACTTTATACGACATGAGACAACAACAGCAACTAAGACATTCTCTACAAAATTCATTACAAAAACTATGAATTGAGTGATGACAGTAAAATGTAGTAATTAATGGGTATATATTTTTTCTCTTGTAGACTTAGATATACCAATCAGTGAGGAAACGCAGTCAGCGTTTTTGGCATCACACCGCGGGTGATAGAACTGTTTATAATTTAAGCATTAATTTCAATTTTTTATTATGATAATATATATCGCATATTATATTATATTAAATGATATAAAACTTAATTTATTTAAATAACCGTTAAATACAAAAAGTCCATCGTTTAAAGTAAGTATTTTAAACTTGTGAACTGCGATATAGAAACTACAAGAAATCGAAGTAGAATCTCAGAATAAATAATAGATAGAATTTAGTGTATTGTGATTTATATGATGAAAGTTTGAAACGCAAGCGTTTAGATGCGGCGATGCGCGCTTCAGCTTTATGCCCCCACAGAACCAGTACGTATATACTAAATAAAATAATGAATTAAATAAGATAAATGAAATTTTTATATCAGTAAATGTATCAGCTTAAATGTTGCCTGTGCTGAGGGGTGGGTGTCTGAAAACCCATTATAATACAGGCTCGACTTAGGTTAGATTCTAGCTCGCCACACACACTACTTTTTCTTTAAAATCTAATTAAAGTTAGCTATACCATTAAAAGAAAAAATAAATATTATTACTTATTAAACTTAGGTAGTATAAACTGTTTAATTTAGTTATCTTTGATCAAATGGACATTTTAGAGATCAAGATTTTATGTGATGGTGTCATGAATCTATACATCTATACATTATCATTAATCTATACATCGAGTATATTATAATCACTACATATTACATACATACATACATACATATAAATACAATTGAAGAGTTTATATTGTCGAAAGCGATATTTTCATGCTATTAAGAGATAATGAATAACCATTTAAAAAAATTTGTCGGACTATTCTTTAGAATGATCGAGCCGATTGTGATGAAACTTCATAAAGTATAGAGAACAACGCTAGTACTGTTCTGGGCTAAAATTATCCGATAAGCACGAAGTATTTTTTGTGAAGTCGAAAATTTGATAAAATAAATGATTTTTGATATGTAAAATAAAAATTCGAACAAAACCTTTTTACTTTGCAGTTTTACACAAAAAACATTATCTATATAGTATTTATATAACACTATCTGCTATCTCTCATTAACTTCTATTAATTTCTTATTAATTTTAATCGATTTTAAACTTTTAATTTAATAATTTAATACCATATATTTTTTTTAATTTAATACCATTTTACAATAAAGTTATGAGTGTTAAAATAAAAGGTGATTGGACCTTTTTTTCAAAACGCATATAGTTTTCGTGATAAAAACAAAAAAACTGAATTAATAGTTTTTTTACTAGTTTAACTACTTGCCCAAAAATCACTTCTATAGATCTGCAGTTTTTTGTTCATGTTCTACGCGGTTAAGTCGCGGGTAAAAGATAGTCAGTATAATATATAGAATTAAGTTACTATGTTGTATTTATGTCCAAAGATGCAAGCGATGCCATTACTTTTTATATTCTTCTATGTTTAATCTATCTATCGGGTTTTATTCATATTTTCATAGCTTCTATATGAGAAAATTTAAATATCAAATACGCTGTCAGTATGTGCAATTTGTGCGCAGAATGTTGATTAAACCCATGATATTGTGACTGGAGCGTTTGCACGGCAATTAGCTCACGAAAACAAAGGAAAAGGCTAAAAATATATTTAGCATAATATGTTTAAACGAAAAATGCATACCTGCGTGAGCATTGAGAAGACCGCTGCCATGCCGACTTGGCCCACACCGACCACGGTCACTTTATTTCCCGTGTGATCGCTTTTCTTGTAAATCGGCTGGAATAATTTGTCGATCGTCGCCATATTACCTAACATAAACAATAAATAGATTGTATAAAATAAGAAAATATGATTTCTAAAAATAAAATAATAAAATAATAGCTAGAGATAGAAAATATCTATCACTAAATCATAACGTTAACAGAATTATTAATTGTTCACTTTAACTTATATTGATTTGGAAACAGTTCCATCTGCAACCTAAATGTTCTGAATTTTATTAATCATTTAAGTACAAAATCAGCTATTGCTAATCATTTTGAATAGTACGATAAGCATGTTATTATTTTATTAAATTATTAGAGGTAAATTTTGTTAATTAATAAGAGTCTCGATAAATATTATATGAAGTTGTCGCATACATGTCAAAGGTAAATCTATTAGGTCTTGAGTGTCATTAATTAGCCTTATTTTTTAAACATGAAAATGTTACTCAAAAGGCATGTTCTATTATTTATCGCAACAATATCAGATGAGAGAATCAAATAGAATGTTTTGTGAAAATATAATTTAAACCTTTAAATTCCATCAGATAAATACCTTTTTTGCTCATTAAATGTCTACTCCTAATATATACTTTTACTTTTCTAGTATCGTTACTGCCTATTAAAAGTCCACTGAACTGAACATATTCCTCCTCCATGATTGCCTCATAGGGGGATATTTACAATAGATAAAAATAAACCAGGAGTTGGGCAGCGGTATCTTGGAAAATTCCCTCCTTACGACACTCACGGGACAGTATGGTTCGGTTTCTTTAATCATGTGGTATGGGGATATGGAGTAGAGGATATTCTTACATCGATACTCTACAGTGGCATTATTCTTATCTTCATGGCAGGCATATTTCATTTTTCTAATAAGTAAATAATAATTTCGGAGAGTCAAGAAAATAATGTACAAAATAAAAAGACAATTAATTAGGAAAATACAACAAACAAAAATAAAAAATAAAAGTTTGGTGTGAAGGGCATTCAAGGTTACAACTTTCTAATAAGGTACCAACTAAACAACGAGAGAAAGTTTCTCAGAAAGGAACTATATAAAACATTTAGTGCTACTCAAATAATTTAGATATTGTGCACAATATTTTTAAGTCACTTTCAAGTTTCCAAAATGATCCCCTCTTTTGTATAAATTTATAAAATATAAAACGGAGAGTCTTGTATATTATTTGAAAATGAATAAAATAGTAATAAAACACATTTATAAATAAGTTCAAAATCTGCCGGGCGGAATCATGGCACCCTTGCTAACGTGCCTAACCCGGAACTTTATTAAGATGAAGCTCAGCAGCGACTCCCACCTAAAATATTTTACATAATCGCCATCAACATCATTACAGCCCAATAGATCACTGCTGAACATAGACTGTCTCATCGAGGGGATATTTGTCATAGTTGCCACGCTTGGCAGGTGGGTCCGTGAAATCCTCAGTTGTTATCACGAAAGTGTTGCTGTCCAACTGTAGTCTTATATCCTTCTGCCGAGTCTTACGACAACCACGAAATGATATGGTGCAATGGGCTTTATTACGCCGCCACTACTAGCCATAAGTAACCTATTACAATTTTATTAATAATAATATTAAAATTAAATATCCCAAACACCTAATATATTAATCCGCAAGAAAGCTCTTGGCTTGTGAAAATTTTCAATACTTAATATTCAATTTTTTAACATTTAACTAACATTAAATTATTATGTTTCTAGTTATTATTAATATTTCATAAAAAATTAAGCACTTAACAGAAGCAAGGGTATTATTTACAGAAGAAACAAGGATCGGTAGAACACGATCCGAAAAAAAAATATTTAGGATTTCGGAAAATGCACTCTTTAAAAACGGTTACCACTGACGCTGAAATATTTTAAATTGCGTCAAAAATAAATGTTATTATACCAATTGTGTTGAAGTAAATATGCGCCACCGGTAATAGTGGTATGCATTTGCAAGATGTTAATTAATCAAACACTGCAGACACAATTATTAGATAAAGTTTTACTAACCATTGGTCATCCAGTGGTTTTCACTCATGTTATCTGTCATCTTGAAAAATAAATTTGTAATATGTAAAAGTTATCTTCTTAGAAGAAGAAATGTTAATTACAATTCTATCACACTGTTCTCTGTCTGAGCGTCAGATGCTAACTGCTAACTGTAACTGCAACCACGCACATGCGTCGTTCGTAAACAATAAATGAATGAATGGAATCGGTCTGCCCTCGAAATTATAAAGAGTTTTTTGTAGGGGGAATTTCTCAGGGTGGGGAAAATAATTATTTTGCAATATGTCCTTTTTTAGGTTTAGCTAGTTTAGTGGATATTGAGTAATTCATTTCTAAGGCACTAATGCAGTTTTACTGTCTGATAATTAATGCCTTAGAGTAGCCTAATACTTCTATGATTAATGCTATGTTGGATATTTTTTGCAGAAGTTTCATAAATTTCTAATTTTATCACAACTTTATTTCGAAATATGTATGTATATATATATATATATGCATAACTTACATTCATACTTAAACTTTCAACTTTTAAAGATATTTTTCAAACATTAATTAATATCACTGAAAAGTTGAAAACCCGTTGATGTCGTTTTATCGTTTAAAACTAAGTTTAACTTGAAACAACATCCTCGTAGAGTTACCACACTACTCAGCAAAGAAATAATAGTTAGCTATATTTTATTTACAATTAAAAATATATCAAACTATAAAGATGATTTATTGGGTATTAACAAATTATAATTACTTATAATATTATGTGAATAAAATTATTTTATAACAAATAACATAATTATTTATCAAATCAGGACTCTCTAAAATCAGAATTTACGTTCATCGAAAGTATCGTCACTGTCTCCTTAAGGACTGCCACAAAAATGCTGAAAGAGGACGCAACAAAGACAAAGATACTGAAAAAGTCAAGTCAATTGACATAGTACGTATCGCGCTTGATACTAAACAATAGATTTTTGAAGCGCGTTTACAACGATCCGTTATTTTAGCACATTTATGTATATAATATTTATTATAATTTTTTTATATCAATATATACGTTTCTAGGTTCGTTATTAAGTACACCAGCAATGTCATTTATTTCAATTTATAACGTCGGCAACAAATAGATTTTCAGAAAAAGTTTGAAAACAAATTTAAAATAAAATATTTAAAAAATATTTTATTTTAAATTTGCATACCTATCATGTATAAGTATATAGATAGTGAACTCTTCTTAATATTTTTTGTACTTACAGAGAACTTTTGAAACTCGTGCGGCAAATCACGTACAAAGTGTCAGCTGTTGAAGTGGCTGACGGCTGTGTGTACTGTACAGTTCGCCTCGCCTGTCCGACGCTCAAGGTGACCTTCAACATTTCGTTTTCGTTTTGGAAGCAAAGCCATCGCGCATGCCCGAATTAAAATTTTCTTGCATTGAATAATAAACCTTAAGCCATAGCAGCAAGCACCATTATAGCAACATTGTATTCGTTTGATACAGGACTAAAGTTTCACTACCACTATCTTGAAACAAAAGAAAAACTGACGTAATTTTTCATTTATTTTTTAGAAATATATTCCATACTGTAGATGTAGACTATAGATAATATTACAGACTACGACTCTACATCTTGTAGAGTTAACCTGAAATACGAATCGTTACTTATTTACATCGCTGTGATTAACGAACTCTATCTACACTATTACGGATGATAATGACCATAGAAATAAAACTACCTAGTTATATTTACTTATAGTTTGGACCGAAACATATATTATTTCTTTTTTGTTCATAAATTAATATTATAAAACAATTATTAAATAGCTGATTACAATCAAAAGAAATAACGTGATATATTTACATACGTTAATTGCATCATACTTTCTTCAAGTTACAACGTTATTAGTTATTAGTCCATCCCGATCGCGCAGGTGTGACTCACCATGTTTAATAGCATGACGGCTTCTAGGAAAGACCGGTACACACAACATGAATAAAATACCCTACACATCTACGTGAGATTTGTATCGTACGCGGCTATACAATGTTCGCTTATGTATATCAGTCAGCTGACACAATGGATGATGTTTTATATGTTTTGAGTGTATAAGCTTTTAATTTAAAAGTTACGAAATTTCGACACTCGGAATTTAATTTAGGTACACTTGAAAATTTACTTACAATTATCATTACAACTAAAATCGTTTAAACATAATATCATTTCTAAAATTAAATAACAGCGTATGTAACTCCGGCGCTAGACACACGCCTCCTTTCATCTCTAAGTGTATTTTATAGTAAAAAGAAGTATGTTCAAAGTATATTTCCACGGATGTAACTTGTTCGTAGACAGAAATGCAATCATCGAAAAATATTAATTTTTATGTTTCAGACTTGCAAGACCCACACAATGTTTTACTATAACCGGTTCCGGCGGTGATATCGGGTTGCTAGCGTACTATGCTTATTGCTTAAAGCAAACACCATACCTGCTAAGCTACCACATCTGTCACGCGTCGCGTTTATGGTAAGTTATTCCTAGAAAAGTAGAGGTCTATGCCCAGGAACTGACTGTCACGGATTAATAGGGTTAAGAAACAAAAAATCCTGTAAAATTCGTGTAATGGGGGCGTAAGATATTTCACTACGTCATATAATTTCGTGGGAGGCGTAAAAGACGACCAAGATAAATGAAACAGAAGATGGTCAGCATTATCATCTTCCCGATAACAAGTCAAAATAATAAAAAACCACGTGCTAACTATGGGAAATATCGCCCTATGAGGTAACCCATTAATTAATTGACTGTAATTATTAAAGAAACAGGCATATACATAGACATATGTATGTTTTATTAGAATCAATACACTCACGTAATATACATTTAGAAGTACATAAAAACATACAAGGTACAAGAAGGAAAACATAAACAATGTGATGTGCTACCTACAGCAACTACTGTAGCAGCTCTGATTTTCAGTGGAGCCCTGATAAATATTGATTTCTGATATTGATTTCTGATACAGAGCATCATCATCATCATTACAGCCCTTCACAAGCCCACTGCTGAACATAGGCCTCCCCCAAGGAATGCCACTAAGCACGGTACTGAACCACCTGTATCTATCGAATTCCTGAAAAATAATTTGCGAATTGTATGTGGTTTTATTACCTCTGCATTATTCGGAGAGTAAGAAGATTGTGAAAGACCCCCCTTCACCGATGCTCGTGTCAGTTAGAGGTAATAAAACCACATACCATTTGCAAATTTTTTTTTTAATTAAAATTAAATTTTTTAACGATCAAATTTTTTGAAAAAAGTTATTTCTGTACGTTTGAATACTGACTTTGATAACACACATAAAGGAAACCACAGGTATATATATATATATATATATATATATATATATATATATATATATATATATATATATTGACGGAAATGTGGCACTCTGTATATTCCGTACATAGTTCGTATGTTTTACTCACTTTATGCGTCTGTACATGACGGAAATAATGTGGTTGTCTGTATATTGCATATATGGTTTGTATGTTTTGCTCACTTCATGCGTCCGTTCATGACGGAAATGATGTGGCACTCTGTATATTCCGTATATAGTTCGTATGTTTTGCTCACTTCATGCAGCCGTCCATGACAGAAATAATGTGGCACTCTGTATATTCCGTACATAGTTCGTATGTTTTGCTCACTTTATGCTTCCACGAACACATGGGACTCGGGAACGTCTGTGGCAGCGACAAGCAATAAGACGGACCAGTGGTACGCAGGCCAGCACCGTGCAGAAATCTGTCGTGTCCAGGAGTGAAGCGATAACCGAAAGACTAGGTCAAGTTGGAACTGAAGAAGTGGCATCGACGAAAAGAGTGATCGGGCAGACAAATGAAAATGGGTCACGCAACGGTAGTAGGTCGTCGCGTCAGCGAGGCTGAGAGCCGTATTGGAGGCGCGGATTAAATTCGAACGCTCAGAGCTCGAAGAAGCAGAAGCAGCTGCTGCTTTGGCTGTCACGATTGGAGTTAGCACGCCTCAAGCAGGAAGAGGAAATCGACTCGAGCGAGGCTGAGGAAAAGCGGAATACTCAGGTGGAACCTTTCGTGAGGAGTTGGGTTTGACAGACATTAATGAGCGCGCCGATTAGTTTAACGCAACCCGACACTGCTGATAAGGAAGCGTCCAAAGGATCACGCCACAAAGAGGCGGAGGTCGAGCGCAACATAGGAAATGATGTACAAAAGGCATACGCGTGTGAAGTGTCCGAATTAACCGACGTGATTGTGAGTGCAATAAAGATAGCGGGTAAAGATAAGACTTCCCCGCCTCATTTCCTCCAGGATTTACGGGTTTTCGATGGAGAATTGGGTGAATGGATAATTTTCAAAACGGTGTTTGAAGACACACGTGGACATTTTTCAGAAATGCAGATTGTAGCACGCCTTAGAAGGGCATTAAAAGGCACCGCTAAGGAAGCGGTTAAATCATTGTTGTTTACTTTATGTGAGCCAGATAAAATAATGAACATTCTCGAAAAAAAATTCGGTAGGATTGAGATGCTGATTCTAGCCGAGATCGACAATGCGAAGCGTATGCCAAGACTGGCAGAAGATGGCAGAAACATCGGCTCTTTTGCAGGTCGCGTAACGAACATGATTGCTTCTATACAAGCATTGAATCAACCACAGTATTTATACTCACCCGAGTTGGTGAGTCGTATAATGGCAAAGCTCGGAACTATAATTAAATTTAAATGGTTTAGTAATGAGTTCAACATCCCACGGAACCAGAGCTGCAGAAGATGGCAAAATTGTTGAATCCGTTGAGTGAACAGTTTGGACCGTCATTCAACGTGCCTGAAAACCGGAAATGTCCTGAAATCGGGAAGCGAACGTGTACACTGCAAAGGGAAGTACGCGTAGTTACCGTTATGAACGTCGAGATAATAAGAGCCACGACCGGCGGTTAGGACAACTCAAGATAAACCGGCAAGTCGGGTAACACGGAACAAAGAGCACTCTATAGAGAGTTG